CACGCTTGGCCTCTGTGCTCCACATCCTCCTTTCAAGCAGAGCTGGCCTGCCTGCAGCATTTCCATTACGTCTTTACCCAAATGTTGCTTCACAGAAAGATTTTGTTTGAGACCAAAGGGATGGGAAGGGATAGGAAGGGGTGGAAAGGGATTTGAAGAGGCCTCTGTCAAGACGTAGGGAGGGGGAACTTATCTTAGAAATAGGAAAACGGGCTCAGATTCACTCCTTGGTCTCCTGGCAGGCAGGAACTGAGGAGCTCAAAGCCAGAGGAAGGTTTCTCTCCCCTCCTCCAGGATCTAGGCCACCCCCAGCCCCAAGCCTTGATCTTTTGCATTAGACAACTCCAGGCTGACACAAGGGTCAAACTGCAAATGGGAAGGCAGAACCCACAGCTACTCCCGCTCTGCTTCCCTCACTAGCAGCAGCCAAGTCTGCCTGACACTCCCCTGGGCCCTCACCCCCTCAAGGAAGCCAGAATTAGAAGACAGACTCTACCAGGGACTGGGGAGCTACTTTTCCTCTCCACACTATAGCAGCCCAGGGACAAAGTGTTGAAGATGACCTAGAGGTCAGAAAAGCAGTGTTGTTGCCATCAACACCACCACCATGGCCACCATCATCACCATCATCATCACCATCATCACTATCATCATCATCATCATCACCATCATCACCACCACCATCATCACCACCACCATCATCATCACCATCATCATCATCATCATCCCCATCACCATCATCACCATCATCACCATCATCACCATCATCATCACCATCATCACCATCACCTCCATCATCATCATCATCACCATCATCACCATCATCACCACCATCACCATCATCATCATCACCATCATCACCACCATCATCATCACCATCATCACCACCACCACCACCACCATCATCATCATCACCATCATCACCATCATCACCATCATCATCATCATCATCACCATCATCACCACCACCATCATCATCATCACCATCATCATCATCCCCATCATCATCATCACCATCATCACCATCATCATCATCATCATCACCATCACCATCATCATCACCATCATCATCATCATCACCATCATCATCATCATCATCATCATCACCATCATCACCACCATCATCACCACCATCACCATCATCGTCATCACCACCATCACCATCATCACCATCATCACCACCATCACCACCATCGTCATCTCCATCATCACCATCATCACCACCACCATCACCATCATTATCTCCGTCATCATCATCATCACCATCATCACCACCATCACCATCATCGTCATCACCACCATCACCATCATCACCATCATCACCACCATCACCACCATCGTCATCTCCATCATCACCATCATCACCACCACCATCACCATCATTATCTCCGTCATCATCATCATCAGCATTACCATTATCACCAATATCATCACCATCATCATCACCAACGTAGCAGTAGCAGTAGTAGCAGAGGCCATCTTGAATAGGAGAAAAGGGGCTTTGTTTCAGTTATTTTGAGATGTGGTTTGGTAACAGGATAACAGTCGGGCAGAGAAGGGCAGTGAAGGAGTGTACAAAGGGGAAGAGCCCTGGAATCTGGGCTGAGCACTACTCTCAACTTCCTATATGGCTTTGGAAGGTGACAGCTTCTGAACCTGACATTCTCGCTTATAAAACAGTGACCCTGACAGGGAGGGTGTTGAGAGTGGGGGGAACAGTGGTCCTCTTTAAGTTCCCTTATGACTTTAGGTATGATGGAAAGAGATAAAAACCCTACTCAGGAGCCCCATTCCTCCCAGACCCTCCCTCTCACAACTAAGAGCCCTGGTTGTAACACAATGAGCAGATGTCAGTGTGTCCGAAAGGTGGGAAGAAGAGGCTGCAAGGGGCCTTGGGATGTGGGGAGCTCCCTGAGCTTCCTTGTTGTCTTCCATATGGTCCCCAGCAGGTGCTGTGAAGCCTCCAACACAGAATCCTTAATGGGCACAGACTAAAAAAGCTCCAGGGAAGGCCTGTTGCCACTGAGAAAAGTATGACCTAAAAACAGAGAAACTTTTGGAGAATATCCTCCCTACTCCAGCCAAACACCAATGGAAAAAGCACATGCCAACTCCGTGGCTTCAGCAGGCAGAGTGGGAATTGATTCAATAGTACTCCTCCACCTCAGCCCCACCTCACCCCACCCAACTCCTCACCTCCAGGGGCTCCAATCCCCCGCCAGGGTGGCATTGGCATCCAGAGGTGAGCTGAACCTCCACCCCACCTGTCTGTCACAAGGCCATGTGAGTCAGTGAGTCAGTGCCCACATTTCTGGGATGCTGGCTGTGGGGGCCCTCAGAAAACTCAACACACCACCTATCCAGCCCTCATGCTACACCTCATCAGGGGGACTGCCTACTACAAAAAAGATTAGATGGTGTCCAGAGTCCCAGGACATTCAAAGCCCCCAGAGTACAGTAGAAAATCACTCATCATACCAAGAACCAGGAAGATCATAGACGGAATGAGAAAAGACAATGAGCAGGTGTGATTGTTGCAGCAGATGAATCCAATGCTGGAGTTCTCTGCCAGTGGTTTTAAAGCAGCCATCACAAAAATGTTGCAGCAAGCAATTATGAATTCCCTCGAAACAAATGCAAAAATGGAAAATCCCAGCAAAGTTTTAGAATTTACAAAAAAAAAAGAACAAATTATCAAACTGAAAAATATAACTGAAATAAAAAATGTCCTGGAGGGGCCCAGTGGGAGGGGACAGAACAGGTGAATTTCAGGACAGGTGAGTGGAATTTACCCAATCTGAACAACACAGAAAAGAGACCAAAAAATGATGAGCAAAGTCACAGGGGCCTGTGGGACAACGACAAGATTGCTGACTTTTGTATCCTCAGAGATGTGGAAGGAGAGAAAAGAGTGGAACTTTAAAAAGTATTACAAGAGGGGCGCCTGGGTGGCTCAGTTGGTTAAGCGTCCAACTCTTGATTTCGGCTCAGGTCATGATGTCAGGGTCCTGGGATAGAGGCTCACACTGGGATCCGCTTGTCTGCTTGAGCTTATCTCCCTCTCCCTCCCCCACCCCTCCCCCTACTCTCTCTCTCTCTCTGAAATAAATATTTAAAAAAATGTATTACAAGAAATAATAGCACAAAATTCCCAAATTTGGCAAAAGACATAAATCTACAGATTCAAGAGGCTGCCTAAATCCTGAAGGATAAACCTATAGAAATCCACACCAAGACACATCATAATCAAGCTTCTGGGAACTGCAGACAATGAAAGCCCTCAAGAGCAGCCAGAGAGAAATAAGGGCAGCAATCGAATAACTGGGAGTCTCTGATCCACAGCCACGGAGGTCACAGAGAAGGGACTCACAACATTGCTCAGGTGCTGAAAGGGAACAGCTAACTGTGGATTCTGTGTCCAGAGAAAATATCCTTCAGGGACGAAGAAGAAAGAAAGCCATCCTCATATGACAGAAAACGAAGAGATTTTGTCACTAGCAAACTCCCTTTAAGGAAAGACTAAAGGAAGTTCTCTAAACAGAAAGGAAATGATAGAGGGGGACTTGGAACCTCAGAAGTGCAAAAGAACATCAGGTTGGGTAAAAATATGGATAACCTATTCTATCGAGTTTCTTAAATCATTTGATGGCGGAAAGGAAAATCGTAATACCGTCTGAGGTTGTTCTCAAACGTGTGTAGAAGCAACAGGACAATTCTATTTTAAAATTTGGGAGGCTACAGGGACCTAAACAGAAGTAAGTTTTCTGCATTTCACTCCACGTGGGAAAACGTCATGACTAGTAGATTGTGATGCTCCCCTGTGGCGGTCGCCAAGAAATCAACACAATACAATCTGCTGAAGATCCTCATTAATAAGTCAAGATGGAGTTCCAAGAAACGTTCAAGGGGAGAGAAAGGGAACAGGAGACAAAATAACACGGTGGCGGAGTCAAGATGGAACACATTGCTTTACATGTAGAACATCCAAACCCACCGACTGAAAGGCAGAGATCGGTCCCACGGACTCAACAAAGGCCCCGACTCCCTGCTGTCTGAGGGACACTGTGTGCTCACGTCAAATAGGACATCCACAGAAGGAGAGGAACACACACACGTGTAGATAGATGGGTGTAGTCCTATCGTTAAACTCTCCCCCCCGCTTCCCGTTCCCTCCTGCCTCCACCAACCTGCGGTGTCTATCCCTCTCTTCTTTTCCATGTGCTTATAATCCCACAAAAAACCCACGTGGTCACTTACACGAAATGTGCAGAGATATGCGTGGGAAAGCGCCACTGTTTTCTTTACCAGAAACAATGGGGAGATCCTTTTATAAAGACTTCTCTGTCTTTTGTTTCTCTCCCCATATTATTTTGGGAGAATTCCACCAAATCAATGTGGAAAAATTCCCTTAATACATCATTTATTCAACCATTACTTTATTGATGGCTGTTAACTTTGTCTCTAGGATTTCACTCCCAAACGACGTTATCAACATCTTTGGCAGTAAAAACAAGCAGAAACAACACAATAATCCTAGTAGGGGGTGTTGATGCTCACGTGACCCTCAGAGCGGGGACCCTGATGGAGGGTCCTAAACCAATGACAGTTTCCGCTCCTGCCCAACCCCGTCTGCCCAGGATGCGGACTCCATCCTGCTTGAGCTGCTGGCCTTGTAAAAGCCACAAAAGCCCTACTGTATGGAGGACCCACCAGCTGGCTCTGTTGGCCCCCAGAACAGGGCACCATTCCTGTTGGTTCCTGTCCCCGACCAGGACTGACTGTCCCAGGCCATCTAGGACGCACATCTAAAACGGAGAGCCCAGGCCCTGCGGGATCAAGCTCGGGCCCCTGCCTTTGGGACAAACTGCAGACAGACACAACCTCAACGCCTAACCCAGGGCTTTCTCGGGACAAGGGGGGTGGGGACAGCCACTTAAACGGGATTCACCACCGGGGTCGGAAATGACTCTGGTGCCACCTAGAATAAACAGCCCGACGTAACCAGAGGTTGCACACTGTTTTGTCTTTTATTGAACACCCTGCTGATGCTGAGGGGCGAGCTCACTGCCCACGCCCACCCCTTGCCCACAGCCCCTCAGAAGCACCTTCTCTGAACCACGGATGTCCCAAACTCCTTGAAATCTGCGGAGGTGACCCACATCTGCTTGAAGCTGCTCAGGGAGGTGACGATGGAGGCACCAATCCATGTGGAGAACCACCTGTCAGGGGGAGCCGTGATCTTGATGGGGGTCCCTTTGGAAGCCAGTTGCTCCAACTCTCTCAGAAGACGGTCGTCGAGGCCCTGGAACAGAGTGGTGCCCCCGGACAGCACAATCTCCCCATAAAGGGTCTTCTGGATGTCTGCATCACACTTGGTAATGCTGCAGGAGACCATTTTTGAGAGGCCCGGGTTTTGGATGCCCAGCTGGTCGGGTGCGAACAGGGCCTCAGGCGCCTGGTGCAGCTGGTCCCCGATGCAGATGATGTTCCCGTCTGGCAGCTTGTACTCTCTCAGGGCCTCCTCCGGCCTCTGGGAGTGCTCCTTCTCTGGCTCCAGGGCCACATAGCACAGCTTCTCCTTGATGTCGTCCACCAGGGCCTTGTCCAGCACGCATGGGAAGGACTGCCCGCTAGCCAGCAGCAGCCGCGTGAGGTGCTCTGTGATGTCCCCCCCCGCCACATAGAGCTTGGCGACCGCGTGGGGCAGGGAGTACCCTTCGAAGATGGGGACAGTGCAAGTGACTCCGTCCCCGCTGTCCACCACCAGGCCCGTGACGCAGGCTGAGGCGTAGAGGGCCAGCACAGCCTGGTCTGACAGGTAGAAAGCAGGCACATTGAAGTTCTCAAACATCATCTCGGCCATCTTCTCCCGGACCTCGCTGGGGTTCAGGGACGGCTCGGTCATGAGCACGGGCCGGTCGCTGGCCTTCACCCCCAGCTCCCACTCGAACAGGTGCTTGCAGAGTCTCTCCATGTCTTCCCAGCCTGTGACCAGGCCCCGCTTGATGGGGTAGCGCAGGTGCAGGACCTCATGCTTGTGCAGAGCTTCTTCTCCCACAAAGTACTTCTTGTGATTGGCTCCCGCCAAGGGCATCTTGAACTTGGGGTGCCCCACGACAGAGCTGATGACGTGGCGGGGCCCAATCTCTCCAGAGAGGCCCGCCTTGCAGAGCCCGGAGCCATTGTCGAAAATCACAGCTGGAGAATCTAATACGTGTGGATTAAACATGTCTGCAGCATCCTCTTCTGTGCTTCACCAAAATAAAGACAGAACCCTCTCAGGCCACTTTGTGATGCAAAAGGCCCCTCTGGAAGTTTTAAGGGCGCGGGATTCCACGGCTCTGCGGTGACTCCCAGGTGGAGCTAGCAGGCTGGTCCGCGAGGGCCCTCCATCCTCGCCGCAGATCTGCCCTGCTTTCAGGCAGCCTGGGCAGCCACGGCCTTTTCAGGGATGACGGTCCCACATGTAACAATGCAGCCAAGGCAACAATTGTCCTCAGCCAGCAATCAGAGGGCCCTGAGGGTATGGGGGCTCAGAGCCCCCGGTACTCCCTCCCTGGGGAGACTCCAAATGGCCCAGGGCAGGCCAGACCGACAGGCGTTATTGATGGGCCTGTGGACCAAGGCCCAGCCTTGGAACCCAGGGAAGCAGCCCAGCCTGCCCCTCCACCCCGAGAGGACTGGTGTCTGCTGTGCTTGGGGTGACAACAAAAACACACTTCCCTCTGCTAAGGAGAGGGCCAAGAGCCAGGCACAGGTCCAGGTTGGAGCAACGGTGCCCACAGCCATCACATCAGGCACTCAGAATCTGTAGACTCCTCCAGGTAGCCCTCAGGGATTTGTCTTCCCTTCACCCCACGAGCCCTGGCTCTCTGTCCCACAGAACAGATGCGAAGCGACACTCTCTTGGCCTGTGGGATGTCCCTCCAGGCAGGCCCGTCCCTGCTCTGGCTTGAGGTCAGGGCCCCTCATTGCTGTCCGCAGCCTGGAACAATTGGCACAGAGCAACGTGCAATGATCCCTGCGGCGGCTGGGAGCATGGCCTCTGAAGATGACGTCTGAGGTTCCCAGAGTGGGGCACTCCTGTGTCTGCGGACCATCACACGGTCGGCCACACGCACTGAAGCTCTCTCAGAAAGGACCAGGTCGTCAAGGTGGAGGCAGGCTGCACGGCTGGACCGTGGCAAGGCTGCGGGGCCAGCCCAAGGGGCCAGGCCGAGGGCCACGCGCTGGGAGCCCCCAGGGGACCCATGCTTGCAGCCCTGAGCCCGGCAGGGTGGATGTGTGTTTACCTGATGACCCTTCCCCTCCCGGCATGTCCAGAATCACCCTCCAGTCCAGCTCCAGCTGCATCCCGAGAGCTCCCCCAGAGAACAACCTCCCCTCCAGAACCCCCAGCCTCCTCCGCCGGTGTATGTCCTGCTGACCCTTCTCAAGCCACCAGATAAAACAGCAGTAAGTGTTAGCTGTGTGGTGTAGACACTGGTGTAGGTGTGTGGTCTGTACATGCGGTGGAGACAAGTGGCAGATATGTGACTTCGTGGGCTCCCTCAGGGCTAAGCCCTGGGTGAGAATCAATAAAAACTTGGCCCCATTGGACATTTTCCCCAAAGGACACCTCCAGGCGGAAACTGAGTCACACACAGGATGGGGCTGATGCTGTGGGATGGCCCCTGACAGAGTTTGCACAGCCCACGACAGTTGTCAACTACCCCTGTGGGGGACCCCGCGATTTGGGGGCTCCAACATTTAGGTGGACCGTCAGCAGAAGGCCGTGTCTTGGGGTTCCGGCCTGCTTACATCACAAAAGGCACGTGATTTGGGGTCTTAAGCATTGCTAGAATTTTCTGATTGTTGCCAAACACTCCAGGCTGAATCAGGAGGAATGCGCTCTCAGGGTTTCTAAATTTTGGCCCCCAAAGTGGCCCACATGGGAGGTGATGTAACAATGCACATCAGTTTCAGGTCGAAGCACATCCGTGACACATGGGTGTGTCCCCGTGGGCCGGGGCTGGCAGAAGCATTTGATGTTTGCAGGAGGGATAGAGAAGGAGAAAAAGACCAAGGGCAAGGCCCAGCTTAGACGGACCTGTGGGGGTGCATGTGTCCTGTGGCCACTGGGCACCCTGTTGCTACAACAACACACAAAAACCACCAATAGCCACATCCCGTAGGCCAGCTGCCTCTGACCCATGCGCAGGTCACACCAGCACATGAACCACCCCCCAAGCCCCTCCCTGAGCTCCCCAGGCCCAGCTTCCTGGTCGCCCCCCAGTTAGGTCCGGGACACGTCCACCTGTTGCCAAACCTGGGCGGCTCTCCCTTCCTCTGTGACCCCTGCCAGCCCCACACAAGCTGAGACCCTCAAGGACAAAGCTGGGAAAGCAGGCCCAACGTCAGGCCAGGGGCTCTAAGCAAAGCCATCCGAGCATTCCCAGGACCCCTTTCCCAAATGCTTTCAGTCTTCCTGCTGAGCCTGCGAGACGTGCTGCCCTTTGTCGGGGGCCTGGCACCTCTCAGCCCTGCTGACAACTCCGGACGCTCACGGAACACACCATCCCCACCGCCTGTCATTGGCAGCCATGCTACTGAAGCCTGGACCCAGGCTAGGTGGAGGCTTCTTTCCGTCCCCATCGTTAAGTGTCCACCTCATGGGGAGAAGACCCACCGCCAAGAAGTGGGATACTCTCGGGGGGCAGGGGTGCGACACCACGTGGCCACTGAGAAAAACGAGTGGGTTTATGAGCCACAGCCTACGTGAGGTTGTGTTGGTTTCAAGCTCCCGGCTGGGGGCAGAAATTCCACCCCGTGGTGCTCAGGTGCCTGGGAACCTTCTCTGCAACCCGGCCCCCTCCCTGTGTCTGAGGCCCATCATGGAAACGCCCCCACCCCTCCCACCACCTGGGTCTGCAGGTCTGGGAGGGACAGCATGCGTCCTGTGCAGGTGTCCATGGCGGTGCCCACGAGCACCCTTGCCACATCAGTGGATGCGACACTCCATGTGGCTGAGCATTTGCTGCAAGGTTGTATTTGCTCTGAACACAAGGACGTTACCCCTCTTCAAACTCCAGTTAGAAGCCGGCCCCGTGGAGGCTGCCCTGCCCCCACCCCGGGTAGGCCATGCCTCGTAAATCGCTTGAACAAGTTTATGGGCGAACTGGCTGTAACTGCATCTCCCTCCGCAGGGCAAGGCTCGCCACCGTGATTGTTCTAGAGGGCACTCGTTTCCGCCTTACATGGGAAGGCTCGCTCTTATTTCTGGTCCAGCAGTCATGCCCAACGGCAGCCCTCCCCAGCCCCCACATGGTCCCCACCTCCCACGCCCTTCGAGGAGCCCCAGCCCATGGTGGGAGGTGCACAGACCCCGGGCAGCCTTGGAAAACTGCCAGCCATTTAGGCGGGAGTGGGCAGCCTGGATCTGCTGGGCACCCCTGCTTCCTACTCCCTGGTGCAATGTGACTAGGCCACCCAAGCCCTGGGCTGGGGGCCGCCTTGGCTGTCCCGTCATCCCTGGTTCCATCTGCCACTGGCGCCCAGATCCTCAGCCAATTAGTGACCAGCAGACTGGGCTCATTAGTTGTGGCTGACATCTGGCGGCCAGATCCTGTTTGCTAGGATCTGGTCCGGTGTCAGCCAGCAGCCTGAAGGAACAGGGCAACTCTGCAGGTGGCAGGATGGGCACCCCTCTTGCAAGAGAGAGAATTGTGTACATGTCCATGGGGAATGTGGGAGTCCAGGGACCACAGGGGCTTGCAGTGTGCCCCCAAATGTCTGCTCTTTCACCTCTTTACCCCAGTCATCCCCAGGAAGCCCAAAGCCCTGAGAACTCTTCCTTGTGTCTCAGCCATTTTGAATCTCTGGGATGGAACTTGTGTCACATACACTCATCCATTTTCCAACCTCATCCACTCATCCATCCATCCTTCCACTCATCCATCCATCCACCCATCCATCCACTCACCCTTCCACTCATCCATCCATCCATCCATCCCTCCACTCATCCATCCATCCATCCACCCATCCATCCATCCACCCTTCCACTCATCCATCCATCCATCCATCCCTCCACTCATCCATCCAACCATCCACCCATCCATCCATCCACCCTTCCACTCATCCATCCATCCATCCATCCCTCCACTCATCCATCCATTCATCCATCCATCCATCCATCCATCCACCCTTCCACTCATCCATCCATCCATCCACCCATCCATCCATCCACTCTTCCACTCATCCATCCATCCATCCATCCCTCCACTCATCCATCCATCCATCCATCCATCCACCCTTCCACTCATCCATCCATCCAGACATCCATCCACTCATCCATCCATTTGTCCATCCACCCACCCTTTTATCCATCCATCCACCCATCCATCCATCCACTCACCCACTCACCTATCCCTCCATTTATCCATCCAAACTCCTGTTCAATTATCCTCCCTCCCTTCCATCCCCCTTTCTTCTCTTAGTGGCTAAAGTGAGCATCCTCACTTGTTTTGGTCCACCTTTTTCATTGGTGACCTTCAGGCGTCAGCAGAGCCGATGGGGTCTCCACAGCTGACAGCACGACACCCATTGAGTCCTGCCTGCTGTCGTTCCCTCCCAGCTAGCTGGGTCAGAATGACCTCCCTGGGTGGCTCCTCTCTCAGCTTCCCCATGAGCCTGACTCACTAAACTGGCCAGGATGGGCAGATCTGGCCCTCTGCAGCCGATATGAACTCCACAAGGAGGGGCAGAGGAAAGAAATGGTGCGGAGCTGACATGCTCTGGGGAGCCCTTGGCGGAGCCTTCCATGGTTCAGCGTGGCTCTGTGGAGACACTGCTGGGAAGGCAAGGTGAGGCAGGCCTGTTTGAGGGAGAGACAGTCTGAGGCCAGACCACCACCTACCCCTCTCCTGCTTTTTGTCCCCCATCCTCATGGAACTCTGGTCCTGAGCACTTACAAAATATTTTCTCTAAATATATCTGTTGGAGGAAATTTGGAAAACACAAGAAAAAAACATTGCAAAGCCGGTAAGAACCAGCCTTGACCCTACCATGCTAAGCACTGCTGATATTTTGGTATGCTCCTTAGTGTTTTATATTTCAAAATAAAATGAGGATGTGCTGTACATGCATCTTATCCCGAACCCCTGCATCTCCCACTCCTGCCTAGCACCCTCCCCACACCACGTCACATGCCAGGTCCTGACAGGTGCCCGGTCATTTCTCTCCAAATTGACAGCTGGCCTTTGTCACGTAGGTGGGACTCTTGGCCCTTCCTTGCGCCCCTCCCCATGAATTCTCACACACGGTTCAATATCTGGCTAAATTATTGCCTCATGGGGGTGGCCTGTGGCCAGCAGGCAGGTGGCCTGTCACACTTTTGCACCTGGGATCAAATGTGCTGTGGCCATGGATGA